CACTCACGACCTTCATTGGCTCAAGACGCATCGAAAAAGAGGCACGCCGCAGTTTTTACCCCTTAGAACCAACAGAACAAAGTGAACATCATCCTAGACATGAGAAAACCGTCTGGACAAACTATCCCACAACGGGAATCACCATCGAACAAAGGATCCAGGGAATACCAGCCTCAAAAAGGTGGGAAACTCTTGGCAGATTGGCATGAACCCCCCCCACAAAAAACATAATAATGCCGAGTTTCATTTGGCGGCCCCCGTTTTTGGGCTCGGTTGCAGGGAAAAAGGAAAGGGGTGCTGTTGTGATCCCAAGCGGAACAGCACATGAATATCAAAAAATGGTGTGTCAGATTTGTGAAAGAATTAAACAAACCGATTTGACGAAGCCCTTGATCCATTACACTCCTGAACCGCCAACGGTTGGCAAATACAAGAAACACGAACAAGCCTGCCACAAGCACTGCGCATTTCTGAAGGCCTTGAATACATAATCATTGGTCAGCTTCCCCCAATTCGTGGTGTGGTTGTTCAGGGGTGGCTTCCCACTTACCCTCAACAAGAACCAGGAGTTCAAATCCCACCACCAATCCAAACCAGCAAGCAACTAAGGGTTCCCTAATGTGTAGTGTTAAACAGTCTCCTGGTCATATCCGCCTTCTCTGGGTGGATTCTCTCAAACCACCCATAAAAGGGGACGCTGAATCCGAGACGCCACAAACGGTCCATTGGGACTTCAAGGAGCAGCTCCGAAGGCAAAAAGGAATTCGCAACACCAAGAAGGAACGAAAAACGAGAGTCACCTCCTCACATCGCAACAAGAAGCGACAGAAGCGAAACGATATGGTTCATCCGCAATTTGGGGGGGGGTCCCTCCAGAAAGCCCTCGGGGGGGGGGGGAAAGAAAAGAAAAACACGGGGTATTCCGCATACGGTCTTTGGGTTCTCCCGCTAAATCCCGACAAAAAACGAGAAAGCAAATCGCCGCCCGGTGGTCCGGCCCCCCCCCCCCCCAACCGGAGCCTGGTGCAGCCGCTCCATGCTCGGCGCGGCGGCGAAGGATCGGAGCTCGAGCTTCTCCTTGGTGACCTCCGTGCGTTTTGGGTGCCGAAACGGAGGGGCCGGAAGGAAACAAGAATGGAGGAGGTTGTATATAATATACCTTTATGTCTGTCAACATAGAGGGAGGGAGGGAGGGAGGGAGGGAGGGAGGGAGGGAGGGAGGGAGGGAGTGAGGGAGAGAGGGACGAACAACGCAGCTCAATGGCACGACTTTCTTCGCCGTTTTTGGCGCCGCCAACGCGTTACTCTTTTCGCTTCCGCGTCATTCCTTTCAGGAGCTCTTAGAGTGCTGGGTCAAAAACCTTCCCGGGTCCTCCAGTAGAGAGAGTAGAACAAGGGCACCCTTTTATCTCTAGTCTATTTTAGTAGGGTCCCGAACCCTCCCAACCAAAAAAGGAATCGGTTAAAAAGGGCACCAATTGCTGGCGGACCGAAAGGTTTCAGGGGAGACTGCAAACCGAACACCTCGTTGCAGGCTCCCCGCGGCCTGCAGCTTGGGCGAGGCGGAGGCTTCCAGAGTCCGCAGGGCGAAGCAGTAGGTGTCCTGGCGCAAAGGCCCGCGTGCCTCGCTGCTCGGTACCCATCACATGGACATGGAGAAAGGAGACGGAGCACAAGTTTCTGAGCACTTGGCTCACCCCCAGACCTAAACAAAAACTGCAGAACTGATTGCTCGCCCTGGGCAATGAACAAACCGCCCGACATGAGCCTCCTGAACCTTCCCTTCTGAAATGCACAAAGCTCGCTGACTTTTTTGGGGGAGGCGTCCAGTCACAGGGTGAAGGACCGGAGCATGCCTTGTCAGAAATGATTAAACACGCACCCTGTGTTCCTGTGAGAACATGGGTGTTGTGTCAAAAGCTGGGGAGCCTACTTCAATGATGGCTTTCCTTTTACCCCCAGAAAAGGCAAAGCTCCAGTGAAAACTAAAAGCCCAAAAATGATAAAACCACGCACTGTGTGTGTGTGTGTGTCTCAAAAATTAGGGGACCCTACCTTTTATGATGGCTTTCCTTTTGCCCCCCAAAAACGGATGGGTTGCCCTTTTGGCATAGATGTCCTCTTTGGAAAATAGATGGCCCTGGTAGGCCATGCCACTCTCCGCTCCTCCGGCCGCAGTCTCCGCGCGAAGAGCTCCGCAGCCGCCTGCTCATTCCCAAGGCAAACCCAGCTAGGTCCTCCAGCAGAGACGATAGAAGAAGGTACCCAATTTTGTTTCTGTGGTTTATTTATTTTACTAGGGGAACCCTCCCAACCAAAAAAGAAACGGTAAAAGGGCACTACCTAGCCAACAGAGCCCCCTTTCCCCTCAAGATCCCGATCCTGCTGTGGACGAAATCCTGCACCACCCTGTAAGATTCCAACAAACACAATGGTTTCCACCATGGTTGCATTCCGTGGTGCGGTCTCGGATTTCGCACCCATCCACGGCTTTTGCGGGGCTTTTGACTAGGTCCTCCAATAAAGCGGTTACAATAAAAGCTCCAACTTTCTTCTGTAGTCTATTTTACTATGGTCCCGAACCCTCCCCACCAAAAAAGGGGGTGAGAGGTCGGGCACCAATTGCTGGGGGACCTAGTTGAGGTCCAGGCGACTCCAGCCGTCGCCCCGCACGCCTCAGCCAGGCGCCGGGCCAAGGCGTCGTCGTCTTGCAGCAGCGACACAGTGTGCACCAGATCCGACAGATCCGCGGCGATGGGCACGTAGTGCCTCTCACGATTTTTCGGACATGGGGAGGGGGGGGGGGAGGGCTTGGTGCGCCTGGTTTTGTTTTTTTTTTGGACATTGGGGGGGGGGGAGGGGGGAGAGGTCTTGGTGCGTATGGTTTTGTTTTTGTTTTTTTTCGCCCCGTGTTTGGTGGCGTTCAAGGAAAACGGAAGGAACCGAGATGGGTGGAAGTGGGGGCCTCTGTTTTTGGGAGTGGGTACTTTACGCCATTTGTGTGTGTGTGTGGCTTTAAGGAGAACCGGAAGGAAAGACAAACGAAAACCGGTTTTTTGTTTCGGGGGGAAGAAGACACACCGAATTGGGCCTGAAAAACCAACCCAGCACTGGGTCAAATCCCGATTGAAAAGTTTCGAGACCATGATGGTGGTTCCAGCCACAGCAAATACAGGTTCAAAGTTTGAACGATTTTGGACAAGTCTGCCCGAGGCAAGCCGTAGGTGAGCTATGATCGCAAATGAGGTACCAAATGAGATCTTAATTGCAAATAGTGAGCCTATAGTTGGCAAATGATGGTTTGCCTTGTCTGCCTTACTACAAGGGGTTGCCTGCCTCAGTACTGGGAAAGGCCATTCGCGGCTAGCCCCAAAACGGGCTTTGGCTTTCAGGACCTCGCTAGGCGGGTCTGACTGCTGCTTACAGGACACGAAAACCCATGGCAATAAAGAGCCACTTCGTTGGCCACAGTGGAATCAAAAGGAGGAGGCTCATCCCATCGCTGAAGGCCTGGGTACCAGTGTGATTCCTGCTGCCAACAAGGGCTCTAATATGGGTGCTCCGATGCAAAACACCTCTTCACCCCTTGCTCACATTGGCCAGTCCAAGACTTCGAGTTCTTGAGCACCCGCTGGCTTTTTTCTTCTGGGCCGTCCTTGGGTTCCCCCGCTAAAAGTCACTGACTTTTAGAGGGGTTAAACGGAAATCCCCACTGAAAAGATAGAAAGCTAAAAGGCTAAAAAGAGCTAAAAAGAGCTAAGGAGATGGCTGGGAGCCGCCAAGTTTGGTCTTCACCCCGGATTCTTGTCGCGGCTCCTTCCTTGGGTCGCCTGCTTTTGGACCTCCGAAATCTCCGGGGCCTCCAGGGCTCCAGGAGCTGAAAGAGCGCCTCGTTGCTGGAGGAGTTCTGCAGCAGCAGCACCGAGCCGCTGCCTGGGCATCGATTCCTTTCTCAGTTGTTCAGTGACCCCGGGAAAAAAGGGGAACCCTTTTCGGGGAAGACCGTTTTTGGTGGGGAAGCCACCAAAAGAAGGGGAAAAAGGGTGCCACTGAACAACTGAGTTTTGCAAGTTGATCAATGTGTCAATGTGGCGGGCCCCAAATGACCATATGGCTGTGGCTCAAAAACCCGGAATTCCAAAATGGGTGGGTGGAACCCTGGTAAGTGGAAACATGGACCAAAACCTGCGGTTTGCCGCTCCGATTGTTGAATTTTGAGCCACACCCAAATGAGCCGCAATCAAAACCCGGCACTAAAATGGTGAACCCAGAACCATGTAAAGAATTAAGAAGGCGGATATCCGCAGCTATTGATGACTGGGATTGGCCCTTACTAACCTTCATCTACCCAGGTTTTGATTGTGGCTCAAATGACCATATGCAACTTGTCCCTAGTGGGGAAAGTCGTATCGGGTTTGGGTGGTTTCCCTCATCATCATCCCATGTATCACGGACCTTTGGATCAACCCCCATGTGCGGATGTTTTGTTAATGAACCAAAAAGAAACACGTTGCCACCTCCCAAAGTAGGGGGGTCAACTGCAGGACTACAACCAAGACCCTTGTTGTAATTTGAGCCAACAAACGCTAACTGGTTTACCCAACATGACCACGTCCTCAAACCGACCAGGGAACAAATCGTCTGTTCAAGTGGTTGTGCATCTCTGCCAGGGCGGAAGTCGAATAGCTGGTCCGAAGCAAAAAGTCTTCCCCATCCAAAAAAAATCCAGACAAAGCCGCTAAGCTCTTTCGTGTTGTCGTGTGCCTTTAGAAACGATCCGAACAGGCCCCCCAAGTTTGGAAACTGTGGCCGCGTGGCTGACACCCAATTCTCCAAATAAAGGCAGGGCATCCGAAAGAATCCCCCTGTTGCGGACAACTGCTCGCTTACCGAGGTCCAGATGAGTTGACCAATTCGTTGTTTGATGGGCCCGGCCTGTCCAATAAGGCAAATATAAGCACCCATGTCAGCTCACATTCCCCCAGCTAAACAGGCAACGAACTGCGGCGAAGAGTTGCTTGAAACAACCCAGAGAGTGGGGGCGGGCCATCTACTTGCCCCAGTGAAAACCCTGTGACACCTCAAAAGCGCCGGCACCTTTTACTCAACTTGTCTGCAAACCTGCCAGTCTCCAACCTCACCCCGCCCCCCCCCCCCCTCCCGATACCAGCACCCCTCCCCCCTGTAGGGGGAGCCCCCAGAACACCGCGCCACACACGCACAGCTTGGAAAAGACTGATCTCGCCCAAACCTGGAGGTGCCTTTTGGGGCTGGTGGCGCTTCTTCTGCCAAAATTTGGCTTGGGCGTCCGCTTTATTTGGCGTCCGCTCCAAATTTGGAGCGAGGGGCGCAGCAGATGCGTCAAACGCCAGGACGACACCACGCCATTGAGGTTCAGGAGAAAGCGGTACCGCGGCGCGGCCAGGACAATGTCCTGTGAGACAAGCCATCGTCGTAAGTTGCAAGGGATGGTGCTTGTCATCCGTGTTGGTTGGTTGATTGGTTGGCTGGCTGGCTGGCTCCCTTCGGGCGGCATGCTAGTCAGCCTCATAGTAGTTTACCAGCTCAAATGCTTGGATTCTTCTCCAACCTTTGCAGACGGTGCCAATTTCTACACTAAAGTCCCTCGACGACCAGTGATCATGGTTTCACTGGGTTCCCACTGCGCGGACCTGGGAAGACCAGCATTGTCCAAAGTGACCGTTGCAGAACTCAAGTCTATTTGCCTGTAGAGGAGGCAACCAAGGGAAGGGCCTTTGAAAATGAAAGGCTCATGGCTAACCCGTACACAAGAATGAGAACCATTTGGCTATGGGTCAAACCCCGTACCCCCAGTGAGCATCCCAATCCCCACTAAAATAGACTAAAGTGGGTGGTGCACCCAAACCCCCAAATGATACCATTGTTGTTGAAGGGTCACTATAGACAACCAAGGGGCCACTTGGCCGGAAGACCCGCCGCGTGGTAACTTGGGAATCGGCACCCAGGAGATGGTAACGGCCTTGACGGAGGAGCTTCCAATCATATGGCTGCGGGTCAAAACCGTTTTGGGATCCCATTTTGGGGTAGGCGAATTCACCACCCATGCTAGGCTTTATTTTAGTGGGGATTGGGATGTTCACTGGGGGTACAACTTGGATTTTGACCCATGGCCATATGATCCGGGCGGTTCAGCTATACGCCATACTGTTCGCACAGGGAAAGGAACCCTCTGCAGGTTTTTTCACGTCCACCGTTCCGTGTCCAAGCCTCGAACTTTGCGAAGCGCACGCCCTGCTGCTTTGCCAGCTTCTTGACCCACTGGCAGGCACGACGCACTTGTTGCCCCGCTGTTGAAGAGCCAGGGTCAAAATTGACTGCCCTACCTGATCGTGAAAGCTTTCAGATTCCCCCCCTTACTTAGTTGATGGGAGGAATCAAATTTCGTGCTGCTTAGCCTTCGTGCTGGTGTCTGACAGAACGCCTCGTAAGGATTTTCCCTCAGCATGCATGTTGTATGTTATATGTGGAAGGGTCGAAGGGCGACGGTTCTTTGGCTGTCTATTCAAGGGAGCCCCCGACCGTGATAGATTGTGTGGCAAGTTTCCAGCATAGCCATGATCAAGAACAGGGTATCATCCTTCAGACCCTTCTAAACGCATCCGAATGCGGAGTCTTCAAATAGTTCTATTTTTGAAAACAATTTGGACCCTTGCGACATGTTGGAAGGACACCAACATAAAAGTTAAACTCAGAGTCCATTGATCCTTTCCTATAACTTAATCTATTCTTGATATATGTCATAAATCCTGGAACTGCCAAAAACGAACAACTACAAAAGTAAACTTATGGAGGAGTGGACAAACCTCAAATGCCCGCTGCCTCGCTGCTCAGCGCCCCAGCTGTCTGCTAAAACCGCCGGTGCCAAGGGAAGCCGCAGCTGTCCAAGGCTGAAAAATCCCCCCCCCCTCACCCAATAAACAACAAGAAGCTACCCTTCACAAAAACTCAGTTGTCCGAAGCCAACCGTTTGACCTTTGCTTTCCCCTGTTTGGTCTTGGATGAAAGGGTACCAACAAAGAGCACATTGGGTGCCTTGCTACTCATGGATGACAGTTCTTGTTTGCCTTTGGGTGCGAGCTTTAATTCCGGGGATTTTCTGGACATCATTTAGGTAGGGATTTGTCCGACCATTTGGAAGGTTAGAACTCAAGAACATTTGAACACCACCCAAAGTGTTTGAAGCTTCTCGCTGTTGCTGGAACTGTTGCCGCCCCGCGCCTTCTTCCCCCACATCTGTTTCAGATGGTCGTCAATGCCGGTGACGGCAACGTCGAACCTGAGCACAGGGCAGACCTGAAAATATGTGCGATATGCCGTTTCCCAATATGGCAATGGGACCAGCCCGATGACTACTTTATCACTCCAAACAAGATTGGTGGCCACAAAAATACCACAGAATATGTCCTTCAACCCTTAATTGTCCACAACCACAACCAGCCGAACCAGCACAACCACCTTCTCATTTCTTTCCTTCGTGCTTGGCTTGAAGAAGCGACAGGGGGCGATACCTGTGCCCGGCGACACCTGTGCCATGTGAACAACAAAAATCGGCTGGCGCCTGCAGGGAGAAATTGGGTGTGTCTCAAGTAGGAAACCCCAATTGGCTAGCTGATGTCCTGTTGATTCCCCTCCAAAAAACATCATTAACAAGGGGAGCCCTTAATTTTAGGAAACACCCACTTTACTTAGCTGTGACTCTGGCCGATGGAGTCTCCAACACGCCGTGCCAGTGCGAAGTCTGGGCAAATTATTGGCAAGCTGACACAAACACAAAAGAATACGGGGCCTCTGAGTTAAACCCTCCAATCTCTCCCTGCAGCATTCCCCTAAAGTTGAAAACTTGCTATTTGGCGACACTCGCAGTAAGCAAGTGAATCAAACTCACGAAGCTGTTTGGCTCTACAAGGCAACCTCAGAAAAACCAATGCCACTGGGTTCCCATGCTGGTTGGTTGACACATACTAACAGCCGGTTCTGAGATCAGGCTTCTCTTGCCCGCCCCCCTCTCCTTTGGCCAAAGAAACGCATTCTACCTCAGCACTGATCCGATGAAATAAACCCAAAACACTTTCTTGGCTCAACATGACCCACCTTTACCCTGTATCATCCAGCCCCTGCTTGGCCCGACCCCCAGAAGGATTCCGGTCCTTGCGTCAACCTACATTGGTGTCCTTTGGGAAAAATAGATGGGCTTCCCTGGTAAATGGATGGCATAAAAAGCATCTAAACCAGGGGAACCCATCTCTTTTTAACCAAACTAACAAGAAACAATATGCCTGAAAAATCCCCACGGAGCTCGACCCGCAACCACACTCTATAAACATATGGGAGTCTGGTCCTTTCGTCCACCTACGCATTTTCCACGGAGCTCCCGCTTTCCCGGCGAACCCGAGGCAGCCGCCAGGCGGGCATCTGCCGCGCCAGCTCGAAGATCTTCAGCCGCGGCAGCTGCCCCGCCTCCCGCGCGAATTAGCGCGCGCAAGAACGCGAGGGGTCCGCCCGTGTCCGCGCAGGAAGGAACCGGAGGAAGGAAACCCATGAGCCTCATGAGTCTTGACTCAAGACCTCTTACAAAAACAGATAAGTCTTGGGCCGCTTAGTGTCAAGTCTTGACGTTATACAAAAAAGAGATGAGTCTTGGGCCGGTTGGTGTGAAACACATGGGAAAAAAACACACACACAAAAAAAAAAAACGCAAGTTTGAAAAGCTTGGTCAAACATACCCTCGGAAGTGCACATCTGGCCCCTTTCCAAGAAAGAAAAAAGCCGAATCTAATATTCTTTTCTACGGGACCTCCGTGCCCCAAACCCATGCCGTCGCTCGGTTGGGCCCGGGTGCCCTGTCTCAAGCCCTTCGCCTGGCTCCGCGGCACATCGTTGGGCGCCGTCAGCGTGCCGCGCCAGTAGACCTCCGTCCCCGAGAGAAATCCCCTCCAAAAAAAAACCTTCTCACCAACAAAACCCCCTCTTTTGGGACGAGAGAAATCCCCTTCAAAACCCCTTCTCACCGGGATTCTTTCTGTAGCACAGAATAGAAAACTTCTCACCAACTGCCCCTCTTTTGGGATTCTTTCTGTAGCACAGAATAGAAAACTTGGCTGGACCCGCCTCTTGACACAAAGAACCGAGGGGTCCCGTGGTCAATGCGCCCTTAAGAACTTGGTTGCTGTTGACCCCTCGGCGAAAAGTTTTTCACTTTGTGTGGGTTTCGTGGAAAACCCCCCTGATTTGCCCAAAAAAGGTGGTAAAGTCCATGCAAAGATCCAACCCAATAGCAGTCAAGAAAAGGGCACCTTGTGACGCAGGTGACAAGTCGGACATTTATAGACCGGCTGGGCCAGGCTTTTCGTGAAATGCTTGGCGACATGGACTTCCTGGGCTTGCTTCCAGCTGCTAACATTCTAGCTACTTTTGAACAAACCTCCTGAAGATTGAGTTTGCGTACTCGTGTCTATGTGCGTCTATGTGTCTTTGCGACACACTGGTCTGTGCATCTATGGGAAATCTGACCCGCCACAGCCTGCATCTTGCGAGCCTTCCATTCCCCTCCCCCTACGAAACACAAAAAGATCCCATCAGGCTGGGTCACCCGCTTCTGCAACACCACCCCAGCCCCGGCGATCAAGTCGCTTTGAACTCGAACATTTTCTATCAAAGTCACCCGCCAAATGGTGTGTTCAAGGAGAAGAACCCCTAGCTGAAGGCAAACAACCCCGCTGGAAACGTACATTCAAGGCTTCTGTTTGGCTTCAGTCCAAACGGAACCTTTTCGAGTTTCTAGAAAAAAAAACTGCTTCGCCTCCGGCTTCACTTTAAAAATGCCAACTTTGAGGATGGGAGGACACAAGGCCCCATGGAAAACCGTTATGGGTCTCCCCGGTTGCAACGCGCATGGAGCGCCTTGGGGATCTTCGACTCCCAGAGCTCCTCCGCGCTCATCTCCAGGAGCCCCGCATGGAGCGCCTTCAGGTGGAACCTAAGCGCTCGCCAGCCAAAAAGGCTCGAAGCGCCGTCTGCTTTGAGGCTCGAAATGAACACGGGGGGGGGGTCTTCCAAAGGGAAGCCAACAGGAAACCAAACATTTGGGGGGGAGCCCACGGCATCCTGGTTCGGGAAAACACACCATGTGCGAATCAACCATGAAAAGGGAAACCACTGCTTTTGTTTAGGGATGACAAAACCGCGTGCCGGGAGACGCAGTGCGGATTGAGACAGCACTGATTCCTGATGTACGACATCTGGCTTATTTTGGTTGCTTCCCGGGTGTGCATTTGAAAGGGGTGGCCTTTTTTTGACTTCATGGCCATTTGGGACCACCCCCGTTTGCAATCGCGCATCCGTGGCGGGGAACCCAAGGAATCCGCTTCTCAAACAACTCCAACCCCAAAATCCGAGGTGGTTGGAGCCAACCCCGTGACGTATGGTCCGTCGATTCTCCCAAGTTCACAAAATTGCTTTGGGTGTCAAAAGGCCAAGTTCTGTTGCTCACAAACCGCAGGGTCAACTCCAAGCCTTGACTTCGGCCACAGGTTCCTTCGAACATTTCTAACTCAGACCGGGCCCCAGATCTGACAAAACGAGCAAAAATACAACAGCTGTCCCTGATTCAGGACTTGTGATTCCAGCAGAGGAACCTCTCATGAAGGGCCGAAGGCACACTTGCAACCTTTCCCAGTGCCTATAACTGGCCAGGGCTTCTTACATCTAGGTTTTACATGATGGTTTTCTTTAGTTACCTACAATGGCAACTGGACTTCGTGGCTTTGCCGCTTTTGACCCACGCCCCCGACACGATGCAAGCAGGTGCCGTGGAAAATTTGGGTGCTTGGTAAGCACCATGATTCTAGGCGTACCTTCCCCATTCTTTCCAGGGATCCTTCTTTCTAGAAAACCTCCAGAAACCCAGGGAAAACGGCCTATTAGTGTTTTTTTGGAAAGAACGATGGTTGAAAAGAATGGACAACGAACCAATCCCTAGAATGCTGGGGGGGGCCCTTTTCATCGGGGCCCTGGCCTCAGATCCATTCCGGCGGCTCCTTTTTTGCTTCTTGCTCGCTAATCAAACCGAGGCGCGGGTTCAACCAGGGGATGTTCCAGAATCCATCGCCGGACTCAGGATGGAACACCGGAAACGGCTCCTACGAGTTCCCGAAGCGGGGGCAAAAAAAGACAGGCAAAGCCGCGAAAATGTGCATGGGGATGAGGCCCCAGCAAATGTGGTTTGCGCATGTGTATAAATGTATATATATATATATATTTATTTATTTACTTATTTTCGAAACGGCGCTTATCTTTCGCCTCCATGCCTGGGCATGGGGATGTGGACCCGCACAATAGATGTTGGTCTTCCTTCAGGTTCATCAAATCTGAGGGCCTTAAAAGGTGCCAAGCATGTTTGGGAAACCAAGGGGGCCCAGTCGGCCCTTCTTTCCAGTCGAAGGCAAACCATGCCCCTGCAAAAGGTTAATTCTTGGTTGCCCCAAACGGGGGTAAGGGCAAGATAACTTAACTTTGCCAGTAGGCACACACAGGTCCCTTTGCAGCAGTGAAAGCTCTCCTCTGGCAGCGCGGGGGGGGGGGGATTTTTTTGTAGGGCCCTTGTTTTGCTAAAGTGGACGAGAAACTTTGTCGGGCCCTTCCTCTTGTGCCACCACCTGAAGTCTTCTAAAACCCTCTTCCCTGAAGAAGATACCAAGCAAATCCACCATTACGGATTACTTGATCAACTAACCCCGAAAAGGGTTCTAACAAGCATTACCTGAGTCACAATCAAAACCTGGCACTAAAGCGTCATCGGACCCTTGGGACATCATTCGGCGCAATTCATGTCCGACCAGTTTTGGGGTGGGGTGCCCCTTAAAAAGTCATAGCCTCACTTCCGAACGAGTGGACTGGCCAAAACAAGTCTGAGCTTTCTATGTACCTCAGAAATTGTCCCCAAACCCGAAAAGTGGGCTCAAGTCCGGGAACTCCGGAATGACCAATTAAGGCTTCTCCGAAAAAACAAATTTTAGAAGGTCCCAAGAATTGGCAAGTCTTCCCCTGGAATTGATTTGGCCATGGGTCAAAATCCAAATCGTACCGCCAGTGAACATCCCAATCCCCACTAAAATAGACTAAATTGGGTGGTGCACCTACCCCAAAATGGAGTCCCATTGGTTTTGACCAACAGCCACATGTCTAGGGGTCGATTCCCCATTCTCTTTAACCATCGTTCTTTTCAAAACCAGCTGTTTCCCCAAAGGTTCTGATGGATTCTGGAAAGATTCGGATCCCCGGAAAGAATGGAAATGGAAGTCTTCTCCTAGAAGTGCTTTTCCAACTTTTTGGGCTCCAAGAGCTCCACAAACGCCAGGAGCTCTCCTCCTCCCATGGCACGTTGGGCTCGTCCCCGCACTGAACGAGCATCAGGGCGTCCGTCAGATCCACCACCTGGTCTCAGCCATTCGGAACCCACGAGCGTTTCCTTTGGGCAACATCGGTACCGAATACAGCAGGAGACTAACTCAAACCAGCCACGGACGCAAAACGTGAAAAAGAAAAGGAACCAGAATGAAACCTGTTGTTGTCCATTTGTTTTCCCAAAATGAGACCAAAAGCGGGGGGATGTCTCACAAATTGTGTGAACCCGAAACTTGTCTTTTTGCTTTCCCTTTAAAACGTAACAAGCCTCAAAGACACAACAGGAACTCAATCTCTCTCTCTCTCTCTCTCAATTCCCCTTGTTTGGAGCTTCAATACTGTTCAGCGGAAAATCCCGTGACCCCCCCAAACAAAATCCACCCAATGCCCAAGTTCCTTTTGGTTTGCTTTTGAAAGAACTGCGCAGGAAGCTGTCGGACAAATCCAGCCAATTGATTCATCGAAGTCACACCTGTTAGGTTGAAGCCGAAGCCAAAAGTATCAATCTGTATCTGACAAACTCACAGCAGGATTTTGTTTAAATAAGCTCAGGTGATAAGCTCGATCAATGATCAACTCACCTAAGGGGAACTGACGTGCTTTTCTTTGGGAACCCTTTTTGGTTGGATTGAAAAAAAATAGGCTCAGGTGATATCCCCAGCATGCCGTGCTCTTTTTAGCGCTCGCACCACCCCGCAGCCCTCGCAGAACCTCGTGGAACCCTGATAGAACCCTCCTGGAACCCTGGTGGAACCCTCGTGGAACCCTCGTGGAACCTTACCTCAGGGCCGCCCCGGACCACCCTGGAGCCTATCTGGGCTGAGACCCCAAAGCTTTCAGCTGTTGGGGGGAAAAAAAGGAAAAAGTGGGGGGGGTCACCTGCAAATGGAACAACAGTTGAGGTCTTTCCGAAGCTTGCGCGAGCAAAAAAAAATGCTTGCGGCTTCTCTTTGGAACGGACCGAGCCTCAACACAACACATCCCCTAGGTCCTCCAGTAGAGAGGTTTGAATAAGGGTACCCTTCTTTCTGCAGTCTATTTTAGTAGGGTAACCCTCCCCCAAAAAAGGAGAGACAAAGGGCACTACTGGGGGACCTAGTCCCTTTCAACCAGCCCCGAAACAAGTCCGCAGCTTGCCTCGAGCACCTCCTGCAGCATGCGCAGCCAGCGCCAGGTGTCTTTGTCCTTCAGCGGCCGCATGCAGTTCCCGTCCTGCGGACGCCGCAGGAAGGCGGCTGCAAATGCCAGAAGGTATGTTTCCACGGGCTGATTCTCCATCATTTTCAACCCTCGTTCTTTCCAAAATCCGGCCGTTTTACCTCGGTTTCCGGAGGTTTTCTAGAAAGAAGGATCCCTGGAAAGCGTGGGGAAGGTACCCCTAGAATGTTCCAAAAGTAGTGCAAGTAACCAGGCATTTCCCAGGCACTCTGCAATTCCCCTGGAATTCACGGGTTTGATCCACTCAGTTTGGCATACTAAGAGGATGCCGCTGACCTGCCACGCACAGCAAGCGCAGGAAGAAGTCCCCGCAGCTTACCCAGCGTGTTGGTGTTTGTGCGTCGGATTTTCTCGCGAAATGAGGCCCAACCTGAACACGCTTAACGAGACAAGCTGGTCGCGCCGAAGTGATGCTCCAGAAAATGAGAAAGACCCGAAGTACAGAGACAGGGCATGCTGACTTACCGGAACTTGGAATTGAGACCAAGCCACTGTCCAAACGTCTCTCTCTCGCTCGCTCTCTCTCTCTCTCTCTCTCTCTCTCTCTCGCTGGCGTTCAGCAGTCGGGTCCCTGAACATGTCCAAACCAAGACAAACCAACACTCCAGGGTTTTATTCCCCCTTGTTTTCAACCATCGTTCTTTTCAAAACCGGCCGTTTTCCTTGGGTTTCTTGTGGGTTTTTGGAAAGAAGGATCCCTGGAAAGGATGGGGAGGGTACCCCCAGAAACACGATCAGAGTCTACGTTTTGAACCAAAAACCACTGGGAACGACCGTCCATGGCGCGGCTCCTCTGCATCGCTGTGGCACTTCCTCGGCGAGCTCATGGCGAGCAAATGCGGGAGCTTTCAGGGGATGGTCTTAGCTGGGTATGTCTCAAACATGGGGGGGAAAAACCAAAAAGCCAAACTGGCTGGTGTACTTCTGGGTTTCCTTCCAAACCAACCCGGGACTTCCCCGAACATGCACTGCAACCCGAACTGTCGACACCGGTATGCCCCCTTTTCCCCTTTCCTCCGGTTTCCCCCGCACTCCGCTCCACACTCATGGTTGCGGACGTCTGTTTAGAGGGCATGGGGTTTAAGGGGTCCAACGGCTCAGCATTTCGGCTGGGTACCGGACTTGTCGCCGGGCCCCAGATCTCACCCAGCAAAAGACCGTAGAACCCTCAAGGACCCTCAAGGACCCTCAAGGTTTTTAGGGGAACAAAGATCTTGTAGGAGCCACTGTTTGGTTTGCAAGGGAAACCCACAGGAAACAAACCATTCTTGGGGTACCCGATTTTTAACGCACACCCCATGTGTTAAATGCATGTTGAATCTGTAGCCGAGCTTCTTCCAGTAGATGCTGTGATTCCACACCTGTGCCACGTGTAAGAACTCTCTTTTCACATTCTGTGCGCCTCGTCTGGAGAGCCGACAAAATTTGCCCAGCTGCAAACAAAACTGAAGACAAACATGGTTGGTTGTGGAGTAGCCGTCAAATCATTACCATTATTTCAATCTCCAACACCCTTGCAAAGAAAGTACAGTATAGCTTGTTTCGCTTGTAACTCGTTCGATTCTAATGAAGGGAGGCCTGACAATTGCAGCACACATGATTTCTAAGTGTTGCTACAGTTATAGGTTCTGAACACTGCCAGCCTTAGTACACGATGATGCTGCGCCAACAAAAGCCAGCACTTGCTGGCATCAAGCCTAGAAGCTCATGTGCGGTCGCCGAGATATCTTGCCGATGAGCAACGGAGATGCCGTTGAGAGCTGACCCCAACAAGCAGTCCCCAATGCCAAAGTGGGTTGGTGATGACTGTTCATTGTCCACTTTTCTGCCCAGCTTTTCCGGCCACGTCTACATTTCCTGTTGGAGGATACCTGGAAGATCAGTTTCCTCTTGAAGGCAATGTGGGGAGGGTAGCTTCACGGAGCTGTGAGTTAGAGAAACAACTAAGCCATTTGCGGAGGGCGTTTGGTGCGTCTGAGCCGGTAGTAAATCCATGTTGCGCCACCATGTTGCGCAACGACTGCTTCCCTAGGGAGGGCATGCCCTGTAATATACTATACCGTGGCTTATGATTCATCATAACTTGAACATACAAACACACAGAGCGCAGACTGCGCACGCATGAAAATCTGAAAGACGCCAAGGCCAAATAAGGATGATCAATATTTCGTTCGGGAGATGTTTGCCATGTGAAAAATATTATCCTAGTGCGTTCGGCCCCCAAATGACCAGGTGACTCTTGCCATGTGGTCTTAGTAGTTTTGCGACCAATGGCCATCCCATGTTTTCCAGTCTTTATGATCAACCCCATGAAGCCCCCCAACTGGCGCTCGCTGTCTTCCTTCCCGTGTTTTGCTTCTTTTCAATCTTTTTTCGGGGGGGTGGTCGGTTTTCCGTGGCAGCCCAAGGGAAATCAACGATTTTTACAGATTGGGCCGCCCAACATGAAGCAAGCGACACCTGCGCGCCCCCCGGCCGCAAGGGTCCAAGGAACCGCCACGGCCACCGTCAAAGTGCGGGTGACGCCGGGGTTGCAGAAGTCATCCAGTTGCTCCCAGGACAGCAAGGAGTCCTGACAAAAGTACCCCTTTTCGGATGGGTGTTTGAAGGGAAACCAAAAGGACACCGCCACCGTCTTGGCCTTTTTGGATGGCTTTTGAAGGGAAATCAATAGGAAAACCCAAAATCGATTTTGGGGAGTCCAACAAGAATCACACCAAGGAAAACCCAGAATTTGGGGAGTCTCAAACAAATTGGGGAGTCACAAAAAATACCGACACCCAGTTGGGAACGGGCGACTCACCCAGATCACCAAAGTGCTGGGCCCAAGGGTGCCCCCATTTTTGTGCGAAGGCACAAAGACTCCATCTGGGTGTGTCCTGTTTTGACGGCACCTCCGTTTTTTGTCTTCTGTTTTCGGGGGCTTTGCGGGGGTGGGGGTCCCGAAGAAAAGACACACTCTATGTGCAAAGCTTGGTGCGATATCAGCGAATTCCCAAACCTCAGAGAAGTGGCGCTGTAGGGTCAGAAACGGCTCTCCCAGGTTGAAGGGTTGACTAGTAACGTCCCTCTTGTGAAAGATGATGGCACCAAGCCATGTTGAGAGAAAGGTTGGAATATTCAAGCCAAAATGCTGGTTGCATAGATCTATGAGATTTGACTTTTTTAGAGACCTCCATCTAGGTCCTCCAAATGGCTGGGTATCGGCTTTTGGACTACAATTTGTCTATTCTTGCTTGACGTTGCAAGGGGAGCAAAAAAAATAAATGGTTGCAGTTCTAAACCACAATAAGCAAAAATGTAAAATGTTTCCCAACGACAACCATGTATTCCTCGACAGAGCTCAAAGACTCGGCAACCCGGCCAATAGGGCAAAGATGCCAGATGTTACCAATTTTTGAACCAGTAACCTCAGTTGTCCAGCGGCCCGTGGCAGACAAAGGGGAAGTCGTTTCGCTGCTGTCCATCATGAAATGTTAGCCTGCTACCAAATCTTGACCCAACGAATGGTTTGCAGTCCGACGCCCATGTTCCTGCTGGTTCCTCTCAAACCGCCGCAAAAAGAGTACCGAGCCTCAACAAAAATGAACAAGTCTCCTCCCCCCCACTCCCCCGCACAAAACACAAAAAAACACAAGCCGCGCAATTCACCTACCCTGCTTGGAAGACTTCAATTATGGGCTCCCCCAAAGCCCCCAAAGCCCCCCCCAAAGCCCCCAAAGCCCCCAAAGCCCCCAAAGCCCCCAAAGCCCCCAAAGCCCCCAAAGCCCCCAAAGCCCCCAAAGCCCCCAAAGCCCCCAAAGCCCCCAAAGCCCCCAAAGCCCCCAAAGCCCCAAAGCCCCCAAAGCCCCCAAAGCCCCCAAAAGCCCCCCAAAGCCCCCAAAGCCCCCCCCCAAAGCCCCCAAAGCCCCCAAAGCCCCCAAAGCCCCCAAAGCCCCCAAAGCCCCCAAAGCCCCCAAAGCCCCCAAAGCCCCCAAAGCCCCCAAAGCCCCCTCCCTTTCCCTGCTGCCTGCTGCGCCCAGAAGCGGCCGAACCGGTCCAGCACCGGCTCCGAGTCGGAGCACTTCAGCGCACAGGCCCTCAGCATAGGTCGCTGGTGCGATAGGTAGGGAATGTATGAACAAGGGGCATGTACTTCCACCTAGATACTTGGGGAATGAGAAATGGGAAATGAACCCAGGAGATGGTCCCCTTAAAGGAAACCACCAGTTGGATGGGTATATATAGGGAACATTCCTACTGAGCACCAGCAAGATAGAGGACATGGAGGTGGTGTGTGTCCTTTTGGTTTTGTGGGAAACTCAGCTGTCAAATGGGTGCATCTTTTCTTGGGGGATGCCCTCTTGGATTGTTTTTAAGGGAAACCACAAGGCAAACCACCATTCAGGAGAAGCCCATGGCTTAGTCATGCCAAGAACACCCAAGATGCCCTAGCACCAGGGACGACGAAGGCCGCCAAAACTGCATTGGATTGGGCCCAATACACGAATACGTTCGGTGGGATGTTGACAATCCTTAATACTTCAAGAGAAGGTCAGCGGACATTGCCAGCCTGCCAAAAGACACTCAGTCGCAGATTTCGGCTCTAGCTGTTTTCATATATCCACAGCATTTGGCACTCCAACGCCCCAAGCGCCCAGCCCTTGGACCCACTCACCGTCCGAGCTGCGCCTCCGCCGGCGACATGCGCCGCGCCTCGGGCGCGCGCACGCCGTCGCCAGCGCTGGCGCTCCGCTCATCGCTCCGCTCGCAGGGCGCCAGGTGCCAGGCGGCACCTGAGCCGCGGCCCGGCGCAGTGGACCCCGCGGTCCGGCGCTCCGTTTTCGGATCTGCAAGTGAATAACTTGAGGAGTTAAATGGAAACCCAAGCACCAACACCAACTCAAAACACATATTTTTTTTATAAAAAAAAAAAAAAAAAGAAAGAAGCTAAGGAACCGGATGGCTGGGAACCACCAAGCAGTGTCACTTTCGTTCAACTAGGACTTGAATCTTTGCCACCTGTTCTACATTCAAACAAGTGGCTGTTGATCTGAGATATCACTTCCTCTTTCTTAGGATTTGAATCTTCTGTCCTTGGTCTAATTCAACCCCTAAGATTGAGTGTACCATCCTTTTTCACATGCCAAAAATGTGAGATTTGATCAATGGTTGAACCAGCTTTCGTGGACCCTTTGAGGATGCAACAAACAACAGCTGGGGATTTGTGTGTGCAACAACCCCATTGTAGGGCTTAACGAGAAACCCCGACCCCCGCAAACAGAATCTTTGTAGGGGGGAGGGCTTCAAAGTCTCTCCAGAAACGGCACGCGCACGTATTGCGCACCCACACGCAAATCCACACCCATGCCAACGCACAACTGTAGCACACACACACACACACACCCAGGCACCCACGCATACACACACACACACACACACACACACACACACACACACACCCAGGCACCCACGCACCCACGCACCCACGCACCCACGCACCCACGCACCCACGCACCCACGCACCCACGCACCCACGTACCCACGCACCCACGCACCCATGCACCCACCCACCCACCCACCCACCCACGCACGCACCCACGCACGCACGCACGCACGCACGCACGTACACAGACACGTACAGAGACACATACACATATACATACACATACACATACACATACAAATACACATACCTAATACACATACACATACACATACACATACACATACACAGACACAGACACAGACACAGACACAGACACAGACACAGACACAGACACAGACACAGACACAGACACAGACACAGACACAGACACAGACACAAACACAGACACAGACACAGACACAGACACAGACACAGACACAGACACAGACACAGACACAGACACAGACACAGACACAGACACAGACACAGACACAGACACAGACACAGACACAGACACAGACACAGACACAGACACAGACACAGACACAGACACAGACACAGACACAGACACAGACACACACACACACACACAGCGAGAGAGAGAGAGAGAGAGAGACGTGTGTGTATATATATATATATATATACACAAAAGGGGCTATCATGGCAATGCACGCTGCGCTCAAAGTTCGCAAGATTCTTGCTAAGACAAGCGTACCAGCCTCGCGCAGTGTCAAACACGACAGAAAATGATTGACATCAAATTGGCAGCTTCCCCACCCCTTGACATCATCGACTTTGTCGTGCTCAGAAGGACATGGCTTCTTTACGAGTCAAAGAGTCCATCCGAATTGCGCTTAGCCGAGTGGCCCAGCGTACCAGCGGCCAAGCGCCACATTAGGACAAAGCCATTCGACGGCAGCTGGATGGCTGCAGTGGTGGATGGTGTGTCTGGAGGGTTGTGGGTGGCTGGTGGGTTATGCTGAGAGGTGGGGAGAGGTGGTGAGAGGTGGTGAGAGCTGGTGAGAGATGGTGAGAGGTGGTGAGAGGTGGTGAGAGGCGGTGAGAGGTGGTGAGAGGTGGTGAAAGGTGGTGCAAGGTGGTGAGAGGTGGTGAGAGGTGGTGAGAGGTGGTGAGAGGTGGTGAGAGGTGGTGAGAAACGGATGTGGCTGGTGGTGGCTGGTGGTGGCTACTGGTGGCAGGTGGTGGCAGGTGGTGGCTGGTGGTGGCTGGTGGTGGCTGGTGGTGGCTGGTGGTGGCTGCTGGTGGCTACTGGTGGCTGGTGGTGGTAAGGTGGCAGCGTGGATGATCTTGCCAAGGAATGATCAAGTGGAAAACAATACTACATTTTGCTGGCGTTGGCTTAAGCAGGTGTAAAGCTAACCTGCCCAGAAGCCCAAATCCTTTGCAATGGTCGTCACATTTCTTTCTCAGTGAGGAGATGCTTGGCAATGACTCGCGCCAAGTTGGGCTGAAGTTTTCCTGGCGGCTCACGCATGCGCACATATTGCTCACGGTGCCCGCCTTGAACAGCGACACAGCTGTCGAAAGAAGGGCAACACCAGCATGAATTCAAGTGGCCGACGTCAGGAATAACTGGAGCCGGGACAGTGAGAACCCTGAGGTCTGTGCGGGCCCTCAATAAGGCCTTAAGGGCTTAGGCGCATGCTTGGGTACTCCATCCAGAACCTCCCAAAGAGTCCATGAGTTGCTGAGCTGTGCCACATTGCCGTAGATCACCCGTACTCGGCGCAAGCGCTTCTTCCCTGAACCGCAGAGCTGTTTGCAGATTACATTCCGTCCAATCACGACCTGATCTAGCTTTACCCCGGCACTTCGCGTGCCAAAAGATGAAACGGCCGTCGCGCCCCCTTTGCCTGAAATGATAAGCTCCCGAGAAACTCTTGAGGTCATGACTAGCAGTGAACCAAGACTTAAAACACTTCAAACCCTGCAAACAAGTCCCCCCCCTTGTCGTTCAACCCCCCAGCCCCCGAACAAGAAACCCCCCCAGCCCGTATCCAAGGCCTATGAAACACTGCAAAAAAAGCTCACGATGCCCAGCGCGGGGATTCCCGCCATCCCTCCCTAGACCTTGCTCACAAGTTGACAGGAGGCTGACAAACCAAGGCCCAAAACTGCAACGAGAACGAGGCGAGACGCGTTCCAGGAACCTGAAACTTGTTGCAAACTTGGCAGGTTGCCTTGGAATCTGGAAAAAGCTCTTGCATGGTCTAACTCGACGGCACGGCTACGGCAAACTCCATTTGCCGGAGCCCTGAAAGCCAAGGCAAACAACCGCAGGCGCTGATCACCCAAAACGGCGTTGATCGACCTCTTTCCAACCGCGGAAGCGGAGAGGAAGTTGAAAGGCGACTTCTGTGATGGCAAGAGGCTAAGTGGGTGTATGGCGTGTGTGTGTGTGTGGTCTTTAGTGGACCCCCAAAACGGTGGTTCTCCCTTCATTTGCCTCTTTAAAACCAACCAAAACTGGGCTACCCAAAAAAGGACACAAACATATTTGTCAAAATTTACGGGGGGGGGCCCTGCAAATGGCGTTCCTAACCAAACAGTAGGCTAACCAAACACAAACAGTAGGCGTTCCTAACCAGGCTACCCACAAAACAAAAAAAATAAAACATCTGTCAATTTACGGGGGCCCTGCAAATGAATCCCTTCAGCGTTAACCAAACCGAATCGGCTCCCGTCCAACTGTGCCGGGAGGTGCCCGACCAGATCGATCCGCTTCAGGGCGAATTCGTCGCCGTCTGGAGAAAACGAAAACGTCGGCGGTTTGGACGACGAGAGGGGCCGGTCTTCAGCCGGAGTTCCACCCGTAAAGGACATAGGTGTGTGTCTTAGACGTTTTTGGTTGGTTGGTGCCCGTTTGGCCTCTCTTTGTTTTTTTACACCTGAACATTGCAACTTGTAAATGGTGGTCTCCAACTTTATTTTGGTGTTGAAAAGGCAACATGTTTCAAATGGTTGCAAAAAGTATCATTTAAGGAGCCCTGTTCAGCCGTAGGAGTTCCACCCTGGCATGGGTGTGTGTGCTTAGACGTTTTTGGGTTGGTTGGTGCCCGTTTTGGTGGCTTTTTCAAGGGACCCCAAAAGTACAACCGAATCCGCGGAACTTGGTTGACGTTGGAAGGGGAGCGAAAATTCTCAAATTTTAGCAGATAAGTAGTTGGATTTCAACCACTAAACCACAACAAGCAGAAATGTAAAAAATGTTTCCCAACCACAACCATGGGAAGTTGACAAGGCCCTTGAAGAGGAACATAGGGGTGTCCTCCAGTCAGCTTCCAACGTGTGGATCGCATCCGAAAGGAAACCTTTGAACCCGGTGTAATGGGTCGTCAGGTGCAACGACTGCTTTTTCACAAGACTTGGGTTGTGTACATGGGAAAAGGCAGTTGTTGGGTCTCCTTCAAGGATTACACCAGCGTTAAAGTGGATGGCACGTGTCCCTTTATGTGGATAAGCAAGGGAACTACATAATCAAAGCGAATGGTGCTATCTACCTTCAAGATCCAACTGCACCCCCTATCCAAATCCAAAAGGGTAACTCAATCAACATCGGCCCAAAACCGTGCTCTTGGAGGGGCGCGCAGTTGTAAAGCACCTTTTGAGGGTTCTGTAATGCAAAAACTCCACATCCAGGGGCCCAGGGTGAAACATAAAAATCGCTTTCAGTGGATGCGGAAAACGAAAGCAGCCGCTCCAAGGCTGGGTTGCATGATTGTGGAACATGGGGCTGTTGGTTTAGATTCTGTGATAGTTCATAGGGAATTCCTGTAAAGTGACAGACAGAGTTGTGTTGGTGGCGAACTTTTTTTGGTTTTTCGCTGGGATGTTGAAAGTGCCCACTTCTGAGATACCACTACCACCAGTGACCCTCTTTGATTTGGGGGGGACATGGGGAGCGGGTTGGGGCGCATTTTTCGACCTTTGCTCGCATTTGATCCGCTTCTTTGGATAACTTTATTCCAACCCAGGGGAAATCAATGCAATAAACCCAAAAAGCTTGGGTCGCGCACCGTTGTCAGGACCTCCGCCCCAGACTGGTGTAAGTCCCAAAAGTGAGTACATGTTTGATTGTGCTATCAAGTCTCAGTTGCAGCAAGAGCAAGTTCACCCTGAAAAAAAACCTCACTGGAAAAACACTTAGATACATGAACACGCCTTCTTTCAACAAATGCGAATACTTGCATCGAAGAAATGAATACTTAAATACGCCATCAATATGTCTAGATTCACGGCCCAGTGGTCAATCACCTCCCTCACATCCATCCCACCGGGTTCAAAGGCCTGAGCCTCTTCGACGGCATTTCCACACCTGAGAACCAGCTCGCTCGCTTCGCTCTCCCCACCCCCTCCCCCTCCCTCCCCGAAGCATCCGAGGCAAGTCCAAGGGTGCCAGCTGAGTAAACTGCCCAAGGGCCGGTGGTCCAAGGCAAGAAACTTGCCGACTCACATCATGCCGCCGCCATGCCGCGCATCGTGGCTCATGCAATCCAAACTATATGAGCGTGCATCCTGCTTGGAAAAAAATAAAATAAAAATCCGGGCTAGTTGGCAAGTCACAACACCATATGGGCAAAGAAAATCCCCCGAGTTGCTGCGCAGGCCTCTTGTCTCTTTGCCCCAAAGGCCAGAGATTTCGCCAGCTCTCTCTCACCAATCCGCTAGCCTTGGGCCCCCCACCGAACTGAAGCCACCTTTTGCAAAGGGGCGGCGTCCAATTAGTGCGTACCTCGAGGTCCAGGCTGAAAGAACCCCAATCAGACCGAAAAACACCTCCCAAGATCCGATGGGCCCAAGGCGATGCCAATTTCCTCTGCAGGTTGGGACTTGTTTTTTTTCCGACCCCCAAAGAATGCGAAGGGCAATTCAAAAGAAACCGAAGTCCTTTGATTCAAAAAAAAACCTACCTGCCTTCCTTTTGTGGTCATGGGAAGGGAAATATCGCCAATTTGGGTGTGTCATGTTTTTGAGTAGCCCTTTTGGGGGACCCCTACTCACAAAAAAACAAAAAACCTATGGTCTTGTCTCGCAAATGAAAGCCTGTTTGGCAACGGCCAAGCAGGTACTTTCTTGTGTCGCAAACAACAAAACGGTTCAAGTCCGCTCTCCGATGCTCCATCGGCACAACTTTCATGCTCCGGGAAGACTTCCTCCTGCAAATTCATGCGGAACCCAACTTGTTGGGGCGCCCTTTCAAAGAGAGACTCCCCTGAAACAGAGGATTTTTGGGGTGCGTCCATGTTCTGGGTGATTCCAGTTTACTCAGCTTCTGTCTAGTTGCTGGTTTGGAGCCCGGTGGTTTGGTGGTGTTCCAAGGGTATTTCCCATTTACTACAAGAACCAGGGGCCGGGCTCCAAATCCAACTCCAAATTCCACCGGATCCAAGCCTACCTGACTTTGCGGTGGCCGAGCCAGTTCTCATCCGGCTGTGGGTCAAAACCGTTTTGGGATCCCATTTTGGGGTAGGTGAATTCACCGCCCACTTTTAGAACCTATTTTAGTGGTTGGATTGGTTGATGTGAACACTGGGGGGAAACCTGTTAGAACCGATTTGTGTGGGGATTGGTTGATGTTCACTGAAAGGCAAGCGATTTGGATTTTAGAACCGGCCCCGTTCGAATCATCCAAACCGCCAACCTCCAAAGCAAAAAAAACATCCCGAGCAAGGGAACCTGACTCGGTGGCCGAGCTTCAAATAGACGGCCCTGGTAAATGGAATAAAACCCATCTAAACCAGTGCCTTGTATTTTTGACCACACCAACCCCAAAAAACGACCACACTACGTACCTCATTCTTCGGTGGCCCCTTCGGTGGCCGAGCTCAAAATTGAAGAGCTAGGGTTACACAGGTTTTGGTCCATGTTTCCACTTGCCAGGGCAACCCATTTTGGTACGGGTTTTTTGAGCCAGTCAGAACCCCTGCTGAAGGTTCAACTTTTAGTGGGCAAAAAAGGAAAACTGTCGGTGAGCAACATGTGTCAAATGGTTGCAAAATGCATCTCTTAAGGAGCCCCGTTCATCCCGGCGCACTTCGCATCAAAGAGAGGAGCAGCGATGGGCTCCTCGGCCTCTGGCGTCTCCTCTGGCCTCACTCATCCGCTTCTGGCTGGTGCGAGGGGGCGAGGGGGTGGGACATGGAATGACCCACAAACATAGGTGTCCAATTTTAGGGGAAATAGATGGGGAAACCCCTGGTAAATGAAACCACCAGGTCAACCAGAAATCGAAACCCATCGATTTTTCGAGCAAAGCAACCAAGAAGGACACCTACGCCCACAAACAATCCCCGCTGTGGCTTCCTTGAAGGGGAAACCCAAAAACGGTTCATTCTCCAAAACCCGGCAGGTCATTTCCTAGTGAGCAAGCTGCGGCATTCTTGGGGGAAATCGGGGAAAAAATGCATCCCATCTCCTTTAACGAAGCGAATGGCCGTCCGTCAAATCGAACGATGCCGACAGGAAACCAGAAAGTTCAGAATTTGCGCCGGGTGTGAGTGGAGTCAACCTGGTCACCAAGGGCACCTGGGACAAGAAGCACACAGCGCGTCGCGGAAAAAACGAGGCGCAAACATCTGATGCCAGGAGAATGCTGAATCACAAATGTCAACAAATCAGTCAGTGAAACAAGTCGAGCAAATTGTCTTCGTCCAAATACGCGTGTTCAACTCACACATTGCCAGCACAATATATTCTATCAACCGCGCTGTCCATCAACACATCAATCAGCTATCGACGAATCATGCAACGCACAGCTTGACATTGTGAAGTGCATGCAAAGTCAGGAGACATGAAACCATCGTACATGCATCGCGCAGCATGAAGTCAGTGGTAAATGACACTCATCTTGACTTGCACAGCCAGCGAAGAATGCGCCAAGCGCCGCTCGAAGAACAAGACAGAACTTCAAGTCATCCACAGTCCAGCAGGAGTCAGGAAGAGCAGCCGCAAAAAACATCAAAACCTGAATTGACGCTATTTTGAGAAGCTCCTTAAATCGGGGTTTGTGAGTAGATGCTACCTCCAAAAAGTGGTTTGTTGATGGTTTCCCTTTTCAACCAACCAAAATGGACCGAATCAAAAGGGCGGAAAGGCTTCCCGCACCTCATCAGACAACTCCCCTGAGCTTCCTCTACCCGTTAGTCCGTTTCCTCGGTGGCTTTCGGAGCTTGAGTCCCTGGGGCGGCTTTTTCGGGCTACCTCAGCTCTTCCCCACCAGATTTAGTGAACCTCTTTCTTGTAAAACAAAATATTTGGGCGAACATCTCAAACATGTCAAGCTCGAGATCTCAACAGGGATCCTTATATTATACACCTGAACATTGCCTTGTAAATGGTGGTGTCCCTTTATTTTGGTGGAAAAAGCAATGTTTCAAATGGTTGCAAAATGGAGATCGTTTAAGGAGCCCTACCCCAGGTTCCCGTCTTCTCAACCGAAAAGCCGCTGGGCTTCCGAGCGTTGACATGAGGCCCTCGCTCGCTTCTGAGTGAGGAGAGCGCAAAAGCTTCTGGCGCGAGGTTTCGGTGTTGCGTCGGCAGGGGCGGGGGAGGGGGGGAAGGGGAGGTCACCAAACGCAGTTGTAATACGTATTTACATGCATATGCCTACATTATCTTATGCATGTAAATACAAATATATATATATATATATATATTCTATATGCATGCATGCATGCATGCATGCATGTGTATGTATGTATGTATGTCTGTCTGTATGTATGTATGTATGTATGTATGTATGTATGTATGTATGGATGTATGGATGTATGGATGTATGGATGTATGTATGTATGTATGTATGTATGTATGCATGTATGTGTGTATGTGTGTATGTATGTATGCGATGTATGCGATGTATGCGATGTATGCGATGTATGCGAGGTATGAATGTATGTATGCATGTATGTATGTATGTGTGTGTGTGTATGTATGAGATGTATGCGATGTATGCGATGTATGCGAGGTATGAATGTATGTATGTATGTATGCATGCGTGCATGTACGTGTGTGTGTATGTATGTATGTATGAATGTATGTATGTATGTATGTATGTATGTATGTATGTATGTATGTATGTATGTATGTATGTATGTATGTATGTATGTATGTATGTGTATGTATGTATGTATGTATGTATGTATGTATGTATGTATGTATGTATGTATGTATGTGTATGTATGTATGTATGTATGTATGTATGTATGTATGTATGTATGTATGTATGTATGTATGTATGTATGTATGTATGTATGTATGTATGTATGTATGTATGTATGTATGTATGTATGTATGTATGTATGTATGTATGTATGTATGTATGTATGTATGTATGTATGTATGTATATGTATGTATGTGTATGTATGTATGTATGTATGTATGTATGTATGTATGTATGTATGTATGTATGTATGTATGTATGTATGTATGTATGTATGTATGTATGTATGTATGTATGTATGTATGTATGTATGTATGTATGTATGTATGTATGTATGTATGTATGTATGTATGTATGTATGTATGTATGTATGTATGTATGTATGTATGTATGTATGTATGTATGTATGTATGTATGTATGTATGTATGTATGTATGCAATGTATGCGATGTATGCGATGTATGCGATGTATGCGATGTATGCGATGTATGCGATGTATGCGAGGTATGCGAGGTATCAATGTATGTATGCATGCATGTATGTATATGTGTGTGTATGTACGTATGTATGCATGCCTGCATGTATGCATGTATGCATGTATGCATGCATGCATGCATGCATGTATGTATGTGTGTATGTATGTATGCATGCATGCATGCATGTATGTATGTATGTATGTATGTATGTATGGTCCTGCATGTGTGCATACATACATATACATACCTATACAGGCATACACACATATGCGGCAACCCCAAGGCACCACACAAAAAGTGGTGTTTGCAATGTGTTTTTCTCAGTTGCTTTCAGCTTGTGCTGGACAAGGGTAGGAATGTGGAACAAATCTCGGAGAAAACTGATTTGTAGTTTTGGACTGAAAGGGAGTCATACATGTATATACAAAACGTGCGTGTATATATATATATGCGCAATCATATAGACAGAGAGAGAGAGACCTCGCGAAGAACTTGCGTACGCATGTGCATGTGCTATGTATACATATACATATACATATATATATATATGCTGTATGTATGTGTATATATATAACTGTAACATAGCCCTACTTCTTTGCAAGTGCATCAAGCGTGCATCCCCCAACAAAGCAGAAAACGGTATAGCTGGTGGTGCTTCAAATGTGGTCTTTTTACGGAGTCCAAAGCTAATGTGTACACCGGGCACCCAGGTGCTAAGTGAATCGCACCGTAGTGACCAAAGGCTTCAAAGCCTGAGTTCACTTCTTGAAAGCATTGACCAGCAAAGACTAAACGTTTTGTTCTCCAGCAAAATCATATGCGCAACTCGTCTGAAGCCGAAACACTAAACATAAAGCAAAGCCGCAAAGCCGCAAAGCCACAAAGCATCTTATGGTCAAGAGCCGCAAAGCCGCACATGGGGGCTCCGGGCGGTGGGTGTTTGGAGGTGTCCCACAAGCGAGCAACATGGAATTCGCACAAGCTCTCGGGCTGCCACGGATGTGTCTGATTGAGAGTGGGTGTTCCTGGTAGTTGCCAAACAAACCAGTCTTAAAAAGGGTTCCCTCATACCCAGACTTGCCCTGTCGGGCCCCCTACCTCTCACTACCCTCTCCATTCGCTCCCGGCTCGGTTCGCTCTGAGGTCCCTGGCAGATTGGGGGTTCAACTTGACCACGGAGCTGGCCCCTTCCCGGTTGAAAGCGGAATCTCTGATGAGCCAGACCTGAGCAAGACACCCTCGGGTTCCAGATCCCTCCGCGAAGGAGGGGGAGGAGAATCCGGGGGGAGGGGTCCGGGACCCAACACCCCATGCATTTCGTCTTCCCCGTACAAATGAAACTGAACCATAAGTGGAATTCCAGGGGTCACCCATCCCCCAAATCCATTCTTACGGGGGTGGGGATGTTTCCAGCTCGGCAAAATGGCCGAGTGGTTCTGAGTCATATCTGGCACGAATTGGTTCACCTGAAGAAGGCCCTTTCGATCTCCAGCTGGTGATGTTACAATATGCGAATACTCTGTGTATGTGTATATCTATATATGCATAGATTGTCTTGTCTTTTTCTGAAGGCAAGGGATGGTCCGAAAGGGAAACCAAAGGTAAAGCCACCATTCTGCTTGGGGTAGTCCCCTATTTTGCTACATACCCATCTGCATGTGCATATATATATATATATATGCGTATGTGTATCTGACTAGTGCTGAGTTGAGGCTTCTGTTCTGACCAGTGCTGACTTGAGGTTTGTGTTCCCTTCATGGTGGGCAGCAACGTTTCATGATGCCATGAGTGGGCTCGAGCAACATGAGTAGTGGCGAGTGGGAACGTCATGCTTGAGTTGTCTTCACGCCAGCACATACTGTCCTTTCTAACAGAGACCGAGAAGGCCAGCTTCGAGCTGACAGCCTGGAACGAGAATCCGGTTCCAGGTGCCTCCGGGTTAAGATTTAGGGTTCAAGTTTTTAGGGTTAAGGTTTAGGGTTCCTGGTTTTAGGGTTAAGGTTTAGAGTTTATTGTGTTAGGGTTGAGGTTTAGGGTTTGTTGTTTTAGGGATAGGATTGTTTAGGGTTAAAATTAGAGTTTATAATATTGAAGTTAAAGTTTAAAGTTATGTTTTTAGGCTTCAGGTTTAGGGTTTATGGTTTTAGGGTTAAGGTTTGGGGTTAAGGTTTTTAGGGTTAAGGTGTTAGGGTTCAGCTTTGGGCTGAGGTTTAGGGTGTCTGGTTTCAGGGTTCAAGGTTTAGGGTTAAGGTTTAGGGCTTATGGTTTTAGGGTTAAGGTTCAGGATTAGGTTTTTGGTTTAGGGCAGCCCTCTTGAACCCCCTGTTGTGTTCCTCTAACGACGACTGGTGGTGCTTGGATGAGACAGTGCCGCTGACGTTGCGGGTCCGGGCAAACCCCAGGAATTGGACGGATACATATATATATATATATATATGTACGTAATATATATGTATACATGCATATATACATATACATAAGTGTACATACATATATATATATATATATATGTACACCCACACACTTTGCGTAGCCATGCAAGATCTCCCCACCAGCCGCCCAGATCTGCCGGACCAGTCTCGCCCGAGGCAAGGACGCCATTGTCCACACCGTGGCACCAGGGGATCTGCACCTCGATTGACGCGCCGTGGCGCGGCGACGCGGCGACGCACATGGAACCAAGGCTCCAGACTTGGCTGTGGGTCAGAAAAATGTACAACAATGGCTACTCGCTAAATGGAGACTAATACTAAAACCTACGGTTTGCCCTGGGTCTTGGAATTGGTTCCACACCCACCAAGAAAGTGACTTCAATCCAGGGTCCACAAAAAAACAAAGTGACTTCAACCCAGGGGTTTGAGGTCCATGGGGAAATCACTTGCGAAAAGCTGAAAAGTGGAGCCTGAAAAGTGGAGCCCTGCATGGAACCCTTCGAGGTGTCGGGGCCATTTCGTGAGGTCGAATGGGTGTTGGGGTGAAAAGGGGAGGGGAGCCCCAAGTGAGTCACAATCAAAACCCGGTACAAAAATGGTCGACCCAGGACCATGTCTCAAGAACTAAGAAGGCGGAAATGTCCGCTGAAATTTATGGCTGGGAAGATTTCCCTTACCAAACCATCTACCCGAATCGGTCTTGATTGTGACTCAAATGACCATATGCAACTTGTCCCTGGGGAAAGTCGTATCTGGTTTGGGTGGTTTCCCTTCTCATCCCAGGTATCACGGACTCAAGTTGTGTCCACCGGTGCTCACCTTACCTCTGCATCCGTGGCTCGGGCTTCAACGAGGCCGGGCGCTGCGGTTTCCAACCAAAAGGCGAAGCTGCAAAAAAAAAGTGGGTCGTCCCTCCAAAGGGGGGTTCACCCGGAAGACAAAAAGAGCCTATGGCGGTTTTTTGAAGGGCGCCTTCAAAAAACGTGGGTCGTCCCGGGGGGGGGGGGGTTCACCCCTTTTGGAAAAAGAGCCTATTAAATTCTCTCAAGGGCACGGCTTGGGGCCGCTTGGAACTTGATCTCGGAATTTCTGCTGTTCCTTTGCTTCCAAACGAGTGGATTGGCCTCTCTAAACGAACTTTTGGTTTACCACTAAAACGGTCCAGACCGTTTTAAGCGACAAAAAAAATATCTAGGAAGTTGAGGTAGTGAGCAACTGAACCTCAGCACGGCCATGGTTCTGCGCACATCCCCGCCTCTCGATCTGGAATGTTCTCTTCCCACAGGAAGCCCTGGCAAGGACGGGCATGGGACCGGGTGGGTGGGGCTGCGATGTAGTCTACTTGGTTGTTGCAAGGATGGCATTTCTATGCACGCCCGCCCACAATGAAAACAGCCCCCTCCCCCACATGACTTAGGGTGTGGGGATCGGCAGCTAAACAAACTACAGCTAGTATAATTCACCGACCCAATATCAGGGACCCCAAGAGAGGAATCTTCAGCAGGGGTGAGGTCTCAAACGAAAACGCTTTCTGAGCAAAGACATCTGGGAATCTGGGAACCTCTAGAAAAGAGGTGGTCTTCCAACCTTAAAAACCAGCTGAGAAATGGTACTGATTACCAAAACCGCTGTGTTGGAGTCGGTTTGATGGAAAAACCCACGCCCAAGCAAAGAGAATCACCAGTCAGCAAGCACATCGCTTTTTTGCCAGGTTGTTTCCCTCTTTGCCGGCCATGGCAGCGGAATTGGGACAAAGAAACCCCTTTTTGCTTCAGTTTGAGCTGAGCTTCCCGTTTGAAAGGGAAATATAGCAACCCTGATACGTGGCTCTGGCTTTGGTATCAAACCAGAGCGGCAGCAACCATTAGTCTTTGGTCCTTTCCATTTGGTTGCTGCCCGATCTTGTCCCAACATGTGGATGCCATGATGTAGGGAACTCCCCGATCCGCTAGGCAATTTCCAGGTTCACTATGGTTTCTGTCATTGCAACTGAGCCTATGGCACATCCAGAATGAAATCTAATCATATCTAATTCACTGGACCCTCTGGTGCACACAAATAGTCGGGATGTGTGTCTACCAACCATTTCTGAGTATTTTCCAACCATTGAACATGATAGCCAAATCTTACAACTCGGTAAGTGGCGGAGGTCACCCATCTCATTCGGGCAAATGATTGATTAATATGAGGGCGTCCCAGAGTATGTTGACTTTGGGCGGGGATGCCCCATTCACCCACCAGGTTGCTAAATCCGTGGTCGGCCTTCCTGGGCTTGTATCTTGACCAGTAACCTCTTAGCAGCATATCCTCACGGTTTGAGGTCCTTGCTGAAGCAAATGCAGTTTTTCTTCTTCTTTTTCTTCTTCTTCTTCTTCTTGTCATCATCATACATGCCATAGAAACCAAAAGGGAAAAATGAGCCAGCTATGAAGAAGACCCAGCAGGCATCCAAGCCGAGTCTTCTCGCAGGCCCGGGCGATGGCATTCTCGCAGGCCCGAAGGCAGGCCCAAACCAAAAGTGACCCTTGGAAAAACCGCAAGGACACCAAAGTTTGCAACCAAAAAAAGTGAAGCCAAGAGTGGATCCAATGGTAGGTTGGTTTGGCTTGGTTTGGTTTGGTTTGGTTTGGGTTGGGTTGGGTTGGGTTCGGTTGGCTTGGTTTGGTTTGGCTTGGCTTGGCTTGGTTTGGGTTCGTTGGTTGGTTGGTTCCTTGTGAAGCATTCCGAACAACCCTTCAGCCTTTGCAAAAAGTCACGGCTCGAGCCTGGTGCAACTCTCGGCGGTCGAGCACGTATTTGTACCTCAGTCACCCAGGCTCGGCGCGGCTTGCCCCTTTTGGGTGCCTCGCCTTGTTAAAAGTTGGTACCCCCATGTTTGGCGGTCGGTCATCGAGGGAAAAGGAAAACCCTTGCGCCATGTTGGGTGGGTCCCCTAAAAACAGACACACCCGGATCTAGGTCCCTGTACCATACTTCGACAGCTTTCCCCACGTTTACGTTTGCGGACACGTCTTGGAAACGGGCAACCATATGCCCTGGGCCTTCGAGCGCTAGAGCCGCTCGGGTTTCGCAAGCCACGGGGTGAGATCAATCAAGGGCTTGCCAGAAGCCAAGTGGATTCCCTGTCCCTCAGTGCAAGGCCAAGTGCCCCGGCACTTCACACGAAAAATAGCTAATAGGGTCTCATCAGAATCTGTCCTAATCTGTCCTACAAGGGTCGATGAGAAGGATCCAAAAAAGCCTCAGAGGCATTTGACAACCAAGGCTAGGTCATTTCACCGTACTGAGGTAGGTACCCCGCGTAAAACCCATTCGAGCCCTCAGAATCCTGCAACGCTCTGGGAAAATATCTTGCAGTCCCTAAAGAACCTTCATGAGCTCGTTTTACCTGGTGAGTTCATCTGTGCAGAACGCTGGCAGTCGGGACCTAAGTCGAGGCTCACAAAAGGGGATGGTCTCCAAATCGCCAGCATCAGAGAAAAAGGCAGCGAAAAGGACATGGGCAAATGCCCATCTTTCAGCTGTGTGAGGTGGGTGACCCTCCAGCCCTCCCCACAAGCGGCTCGACTTTTTGCTCGCGGAAGCTGCAGCACATTGGCTGGGAGCTTCGGCCGGAAGTAAATGCTTCGGTAACTTGGGTGCCCCGCCATGTAAGCGCTAAGGCTTGTGTCTGTGAGAGTAGCCCTACTCAGTTTGGGTGACCCTTACCCAGCAAGAATTTCGGTGGTATTTGTTTGAGGGCAATTCCCCTTCTCGTGGTTTACAGGGAAACCAAAAGGACAACCACTATTTGCATCGTGCAAACCCCTATTTTGACGCATACCCACATGGCTTCCTTCATCGATTTCACGGAGAGTGCCAATGCTTCGCTTGGGCACGCGCAAAGCCCGCTCTACACGCTACACGCTACCGCGTGAAGCGCCCGCCGAGCGGCAACGCATTCCCCTCCGCCATTTCAGGGAGAGGAGGGGAAAAGGCACCCCCAATTCCATACAAGGGGGTTGATCAATATACCTGGCCCCAAAATGACCCATGAATAACGCTCTTTTTACGGAGTGGGGAATATCATCTCTTTTTCGAGGGGTTCCCCAATGGTCATCCATTGCAAGGGACCTTTTGATCAACCCCCACATCTAGTCTTCCCCACAGAGTGGGGGGGGCTTCGAGGGGGGAGGGGGTGCGGGGGCGTGTCTTCCATATACTTGGAAGACGGAGTCGAAATTTTCATCGTCCCCCACAAGTGGGGAGGGGTCAAATTTCCTAACTATCTGATCCCATGTATTTTCCAGATTCTGGTCCGTACGTAGGCTGAAATATGTTGAAAAACCAGAAAACAAAGGCTGGTTTTGCAGGAGATTCGAGGATTATGGTCAGCGATCAGCAGTTGGAAAGCTAGCTTTAGTTTGTAAGTCATCCCCCAAAGGGGCAAACAGGACCGCAATAGACCCCCACCACTTGCCTACCAAATTTGTTCTGGTTCTGTTTAACATGTTGTCAACCCTAAAATGACAAGTAAGGAGGAAACTCAAAGAGGAAGGTGAAAAAGGCGAGCCGCTGATCTCTATAGGTGGCTCGTCTTTTAGGAATTGGACCCAAAAAAATGGCCACATCGGCTTTCTTTTTGGCTTTCCTCAAACCATCAAAAACAGGTGCCCTCAAAAAAGACACCCATACATGATCGATCTTTTGTTCAGAGACAGACCTTTTTCGTCCCCCCCAAAGCCAAAGGTCACCTCCATTTGCTCTTCAGTCGGGAAAAACTGAGCAAATATGTCCAGGAGTGAACTCGATTATCTTTGAAACCAACAGGGGAAACTCAAACAAGCATCTTCATTTCCCCAAGGTAAATACCAAAACAATGGCTAGGTTGTCAACCCCCCCCCCTCCCCACCACTTCCATTTGCTTAAGCCCCCTGGAAAAAACATATATATTTTTTCCAGAAGGGATAAATTCCCTTTTAAACCAACCAAGGGAGATCAAAAATCGTCTTCAGCAAATGGAAGACCAGGGACTGACTGCGACTCGCCACCTAGCCACGCGCCACTCACCGGACTCAGCGGACCGCTTGCGCCGCCTCGGCGTCCTCGGCCGCCAGCGGCTCCTGGGTCTCCGCCGGCGTCGGGGCGCAACTGCGCTTCACCTCGCTGAAGGCCGCGGCCAGGTAGCTCACGGAGGCCACGATGTTGAAGGAACCCGTCCTGGCTATTGCGAGGCTGAAAATACCTTGCAAGTGGGAAAAACCTGTGGGCCAGTGGGGGAACTTGTGGGTGAGGTCCATGTGCGTCCGTTTGCTTTTTGATTCCTTGCAAGTGGAAAACACGTGTGGGTGAACTTGTGGGTGAGGTCCGTGGGCTGAACCTTTTGCAAGTGGAAAAACTTGTGGTTGAGCTTGTGGGTGAAATGGAAACTGCCACTAAATGAACTAAACGAAACTAAGAAGGGAAGGGGACGGCCGGGAAGCTAAAAGTTAACCGCTAAACTCCCCATTTGGAAGGGCATTCCTCATAAACATTACTAGGCTGCCCTCAGATCCCCTAAAAGTTGAAAACTTGTGGGTGAAATGGAGAAACTATCACTAAACCCCGTATGCCCTTGAACTAACCCACACAAGTCTGAGCGTTTAGGCCCATTTTCGTGAGTCAAGGGGGGAACTCCCCGAAAGGAGGTTCCTCACAATGCCAAGGAGAGCAAATCCTGTTGAACACATGTCCCGACAAAGGAGCCCGGCAAAAACCTCACTTTTGCTGGATGAAAGGGACCAAAAGAGTTAAATGAACCTCATCTTGGAGCGCTTTGGATTCAGTTTTTGCTTGGTAGGTAACCAGAAACAACCAGCACGTCAAATCTAAAGGCGGACATATGTCTTTTGTTGTCTTAAGGTCCATGTGGAAGCAAACAAAAATACTGAAGGTGGTTGAGCGTTTGCTCAACTTGCAGCAACCTGCCGACCTGTTTCCAACCATGTTGAGGGGATTGCTGGTTTAGTGCTTGGCTCTGTTCCGAGTTTTTACCCGAGGGTGTCAGGATCCAAGTGCAAACCCAGCGGCACGCAGAGATTCACCGCCGGCTTGTTGGGCTCCTGAGGGCAATAGCCCGGAAGACACATGCTGTACAAAGACAGTCACTAGGTCCTCCAGGGAGGTTAGAATAAGGATACCCGATTTTTTCTTTTAGTCTATTTTGGGGAACCCTCCCAAGCAATAACGGGGAGAGAAGGGCACTACTGAGAAACCTAGGTCAGCTTCCCCCAAGAGGGCAAACAATGGCCTGACTGGAAGGATCCTTTGCCTTTCACACCGATACCGACCCCCAAGGCCCACGGCCCACCCACCCCCCTTTTAAGTTGTATGTCGGACGGGAGAAAAAGAAAAAAACGGCAACCGCCCATGCACCCCCCTTTCTGTGTTCTGGAAGGGGCGCCCTGGGCCAGAAAAGGCGGGTGATCACATTCGGTTGAGCCTGGACCTCATCGACTCTGCTTCTTTTTCGGCCCGTATCAAGCTCATAGGTGCCATATGAGAAAAAAGGGCACGCCTTTCTTTGTTGTTGTTTTGGAAGGGAAACCCAAGAAAAAGATCTCCGCTGAGGGTCTGTCCTGTAAGAGTCGTAGTCAAACCATTTTTTTTGAGTGTCTGCCCACAACCAGGCAGATGATTGACAGGGCGGATGCTTCGGACGTTCGAATGGGTGTTTCTTTTTTGCCTTAGCTTCGAAAGGAACTGGGAAGCGCCACACCCGGAACACAACACCCTTTTCCGGGGCCCCCACACCCCCCCACACCCCACACCCCCCCACCCACACCGGGGAGGGGGGGAATGAAAAACCTGCCAACAGGGATTTGAACAACCCCTTCCTCCGGACACTCCGTGGCCAAAATCCCGATGTACCCGGCAATGGTGGTCAAGGCTGCGACCACCGCCTCGGGGACTTTTTGCATGGGCCAAAGGTGATGTTGAAACAAGGGAAATGCAAGGAGCCGCCACTGGTATGGGAAGCAGGAGCTGTGGTTCTAGTCCATATGTGCTCAACTCAGGCATGCTCGGGATGTCCCAGCAAAGACCGTGTCATGAGCGAAGCGGTTAAACGCTATCCTCAAAAGGATGAAGTAGAGGGCCATGCGCATAGGCGTCCTTTTCGGGGAAATAGATGGCCCTGGTAGATGATTGAACCACCAGGTAAACCAGGAATCGCCCTCCATTGTTCGACCAAAACAACCAAAAAGGCCACCTATGGCTAGCCGTGGATCCTCCAAGCACTCCAGGTGTTTTTTTCACGAGCCCCTCTCCTCCGCCTGCAGCAACTCGCTCACAGTGACCCGTGAGAAAACGAGCCGATGGCTCAAAGGGGCAGTCAAGAAAACAAGCTGGACCTCTTCAGTGGCGGAAAAAAAAATGAGGCGGGTCTTGCTGATTGGCACGATCTGCATAGGGAAACCTGTTCAAAACAACCCAGGTGTCGTGTTTGTCTTGTGTCCCTGTGAAGTTAGCTGAGAAGGGCAAGCCGCAAAAGCATGCGCATGGAGGCCGTCTTTGGCCGGGCAGCTGAGATGTCCAGGCTGCACCCCATCTTGAAGTTCTCATTGTCAAGCTTCTCGGCTGCAGGGCATTCCAGCGTGCCTCACAGACTGAGTCAGTCAGTCATCAGGCCCGGCACAGTGGAGCGTCGACCCTGGATTTGAGAGGAACCGGGTGGATGAATGGGATGACCTCTCCATCAACTAGGGGTTCATTCATCCCGGTCAGCATGAAGTGATGAAACCTTCCTCAAGGCAATCTTGACCCTCTTCCCCTCCAGCCTCTCTCTAATACCGCTTTCCGGATTTCCGGACCGGAAGGGTACCGTGCGTGACTCCCAGCGGATTGCCAAATTCTGTGCTCTTGGTTGACGTTGGAAGTGGAGCGAAAAAAAGGTATGCAGCTAAGTGGGGATTTCCCACTAAACCACAATAAGCAAAAATGTAAAATGTTTCCCAACAACAACCATGTGATACCCACAACTCACCTTCGGGGGAAACCCCGAAAATGGGGGATCCAGGAGGTCGAACAAGGTTGGCGGCGGGCCTTCCGCGAGATGAAAGACCATTGAAACTGGGCTGTCCAAGCTGATAGTGGGTGAAACAGAATCCCCAAAACCAACTAGAAAAGCAACTCATAAGCGAGAAAGACCCGGCTGGCTGGCTCCGAACCGCCTTCCAAGAAAAAGGCTGGGCCTGAACTTCGCCGCGCCTGCGGTCACGAAGAGCCCCGTGGCCGCGGTAAAGCCCACCAAGGAGGCGATGTCGAAACCGCACTTCACCAGCTGGTCGCGCCGGGCGTTGCCCTAAAGCGACTTGGCTGCGGCGCTCAAAACTGTTTTGGAAAACCCATTTTGGACATGGTAGGTGAATTCACCACCCGTCTTACAACCTATTTTAGTGGGGATTGGGTGGGGGTACAGGATTTTGACCCATGGCCATTTCGATTTCGGCGGGAGGGGTCCTGTTGAGGATCAGAAAAGCGCAAGAGATGGATCCATCTTTTTGGCCCGGCGTGGCCGTGTGCCCAGCACAGGACGGCCAATCTTCAAGTGACAATCATGAGCACTTTTGGAGGGGGCCCTAGATGCTCTGCCCCCACCCACCTGCTTTTTTGGGCTAGACAAGTCCTATTGAAGAGTTGAAGAAGGGCATCCCATGACTACAGATCCCTTGGCCGCTCCCAGAAGTACGCCAGCTGTCCACCATGTTTTTCAAAGAAAATAAAAACCTGCGTTGCATTTGTTTGAATAAAAGCCCGATGCTTGTTTCAAAGAGCCTTGAACATTGATGGGCCATGCATGCCCTTGTTTCCCCCGACTGCCGCCTTCTTGATGTGGCGCTTGATTTTCAGCCACTCCTTGTTGTCCCAGATGAAGCCGCCCACGGGGCCTACAGACGGGTCGTTGCTGGTCGACTCACGGCTGGCTACCACAAACGTCGGCCGGCTCGTGCTTTGATGGTATGAATCCATGCTTTTTTGCAGGGATGCCTCTGTGTTGCCGGCCAAGAACCCTCAAAACTGGTGGTAAGCGGGGTGATCCTCCCCAAATAGCCATGGTACTGACCGACTTACCAAGTTGGTTGAGAATCAAAAGTCAAGCCTATCTTGCCAGGAACTGTAAACCATGCCGATGCCCCAAAAAAAGGCTGCAAAAAAGAGACCCTAAGTATCATAGTTCCCCCATGGTAGGCTTCATGGCCTCAACCCATATGCCGAATGTTCCCTTTTCGCAAGTGGCTTTCTGCTGAGGTCCAAGCCAGCTTTGCGCTGGATAGCCACAGACACCCATAAACACAAACGCCCTATACTGCCTCCCTCCTGTGGATGGTTGCGAAATCCGTGGGCAACCACTCCTTGCTGCTATTTACCGGGGAATCATCAGAAACCAGGGAATCTTGGGTGGTGCGAAATGGATTTCGTCAGGTCCAAGAGGCTTTCAACCCGAAGACGCTACACCAGGAAAGCCGTAGCCACTCGATCCAGCCGGCCTAGGCTTGGCAGGCGCTGCAGGATGATCTGCCGCGCCTGATCCACCTTGGCGTCCTTCGCTATTTGGCCGGGGGTGCTCAGGCCTCGACAGATGGCAACCCGAGCTGACTTGGGGTAAAGATGACCTCCTTAAGCCACAGCTAGCTTGGCCAACAATACTTTTTGAGATGCCCAAATGGATGCTACAAAGAGGGGAACAACCCCCACACCCAAAAAGGAAACAACAATTGGAGTTGATGTTCCTTTGGGTGGGGTGATGTTTGAAGGGCAAAACTGGTTTTACTCCCCTTTCGATTAACTTGGAGCCCAAAAAGCCGCAGTTGTTGAGGAATCCCC